TATACTTATGATTGCATTCTTTATTACATTCAAGTATGGATAAACTGAACAAATAAAAATGCATTATATTCTATACTTATGATTGCATTCTTTATAACATTCAAGCTAAACTTCAAAGCAATGTACCAATAAAAGAATTTAAGGGGAAAAAAGATAGTAACACCACGTAAGGACAAATATTCAGAGAAACAAGTGCCAACATACAGGGCTAGAGGATTCAAACTGGAAACGACTTTTCTAGAGGGCACTTTAGCAATAGATATCAAACACCTTAATCAGCTTCTTGGACCAGGCTTTGCTAATGACTGTGGTGACTGCAGTGTTTCATTAATTCAATTTAATTGGGTGAAGGAAAGTGGTAGAATGTCTGATACTTGTAAAGTATGTTTACAGGGAATGAGCTATGAATATTCTCCAGAATGTTCATGAAATTCCAGTATAAAACACACATTCTTTCCCCTGTCATATGCTGTTAATTAGCAAATACTCTTAAGAGAAGGCAGCATTTTGAATTTGGATCCACAAGCATGATAAAAACTGGTAGATTCTGTATTAGCTCAATCTTTCTGCCCCCCACGTTTGAGTTCTTCCTGGATTCAATAATTCTTATCCTTGGACATAAAATAAAAAGCATTTCATTCTAATAATCCAGGGTTTAACATGAAAAGGCCATCTTGCAAAGCCTTTGGATGCTCCTTTTTTCCTGCATGTATGTATGTACCAGAATTCGGAGGCTGGGCCATGCATGGAACATTTGACATGTGCAGGGGTGCAAGGCTTTGAATAGTTGTGGGGCAGCTTTGGTGCTTGGCTCTTACCGTCTGCAATGAAGTGTTCAGGCACATGCAGAGTCACTTTCACGGTGAGTGGACAGGACATCTGGCTTCCACACACCATGGCCAGGATGCAGGAGCTCACAGCAATCAGTGTTAGGGACGTCTTGTTCACTGGGCTCTTCAGTAAGCCTAGTAACACAAACACAGAAAAAAGACACATAATTCAGTGGGGTGAGGAAATGGCAATGGCACAGAGTTTGAGAATCATGTTATTTCCTAAATGGAAATCCAGAAAAAGAAAGGGAAAAAAAACCCCCCTTATTTCCTCACCTCTGTGGACCCTTGTTGGGTCCTGATTTAATGCTCCGCAACACAGGGGTTTTAGCTTTCTGTCGCTATGACAAAATTTCTGAGAAGACAACTTAAAGAGGAAAGAATATTTATTTTGGCTCACAGTTTCAGAGGTTTCAGTACATGGTCACTTGCTCCTGGGGCTGTGATGAAGCACAGTGTCATGACAGAGAAGCCTGACAACCAAAGATGTTCAATGTTCTACTTGTCAGTCAGGTGGTCAGGAAGCAGAGTAAGCCAGAGAGGAAGGGGCAGGACAAGATACAGTCTCAAGGACATACCCCCATGACGCTCTTCCTTCAAATTGGTCTCATCTCCTAGTTTCCACTGCCTCCTAATAATGCCTTCACATTATGAATTCATCAATAGATTAATCACCTGATAAAGTTAGAACACTCATAATCCAGTTACCTTCCAAAACCTACACTTGTGAGCATACATTTAACACACAAGCCTTAGGGGACATTTCATATTCAAACCCCAACAGCAGGATTACTTATTTATTTTGGTAAAGATAAAAGAAATCAGTTTGGGCCGGGGATTTAGCTCAGTGGTTCCACTGCCTACCTTGCAAGCGGAAGGACCAAAGTTCGATTCCCAGTACCAAAAAAAAAAAAAATTAAAAAAAAAAAAAGAAATCAGTTTCCCCAAAATTGTGACAATTCTTTTTTTTAAAATTTTATTTTATCAGTGCATTTGAGGTATATATTATTATGACAATCATCATTGGAAATTTGCACCTTTACATAATCTCTCTTGATTCTTATTTTTCCCCCTTCCCCTGGCCTCCTTTCAACCCCTCCATCCCTCCCTATTTACAAAGACTTTGCTTCCATTTTTTCATCTTCTCCTATTAATTCCATTCCCTTCTTTCCTTTCCCCTACCCCTCCTACTTCCCCTTCATCCTTGCCCCCTTTCTCCCTATTACACATTATCTATTATACCTTTTAGTCCTTATTTACACTTTCAGTTTCTCACAGTAGAGAAACTATTTGGCATTTACACATGTGTGTGCTATTTATTTCACTTAAGAGTATCACCTCAATGTGCATCCATTTAGCTATAAATGTCGCTAATTTTTCATTTTTGATGGCTGAGTAGTACTCCATTTTATTTAAAAAACCCACACATTTTCTTTATCCAGTCTCCAGTTGAGGGCCATTTGGGCTGCTTCCAAGTTTTAGCTATTACAAATTGTGATGCTATGAACATGGGTGAACATATATCACTGTGGTATGATTCTTGTAATTCTTTGGGGAAGATCCCCAGCAGGGGAATAGCTGGGTCAAATGGGACTTCCAGTCCTAGTTCTTTGAGGTATCTCCATACTGATTTC